TCTGCTCTCTGGACTCCCTAGCCCATGAGGTCTATCCCCAGGCTTGTCCGGCCCTCCGACTACTAACCCATGGCTCCTCATCCATGTGGGAACTAATGACACAGCCAGGTCATGAGAGCCTACAGGGCTCTGGGGGCTGGGCTCAAGAGGTTGAGGGCACAGGTAGCCTTTTCTTCTGTGCTCCCTGTTTCAGGCAGCAGTTCCAGAAGGGAAGGATGCATTGAGCAAGTGAACTGGCAAGTCCAATGCTGGTGTCACCGAGAAGGCTTCAGATTCCTTGACTGTGGCATGCACTTCAGGGAGACAAGACTCCTGGAAAGGGATGACATCCACCTCACGAGGAACAGTAATCCTTGTTTGCAGCCAGGATGGTCGATCTTCTGGACAGGGCTTTAAACTAAGATTGCTAGGGGATGGGGATACACAAATTCAAACATGTCAAGCTGTAGAAAATATTGTTACAATAAGAATTTTTTTTACAGCTTGAAAAATAAATTGCAGAAATTTGAAAGAGTTGAAGGATATTCAAATCAAAGGCAATCACTTAAACGCTAGCAAAGGAAATTTACATTTTCCATAGAATTCAGTGAAAGCATGTATATCTAGTGATATACCAATCAGAAATGGATCAGACCCTCTATAAAACACAGAGACTAAAGAAAAATGCTTTTATGCTTTATTTCTACATACCCTACAGTTCCCTATTTCAGGAACAGGCACATCTTCTTTATCTACACCATGTATCAAAATAAAGATGTCTCCTAAACCAATGATTCTCAACCTTTTTAGACTTGAGGCATGCCTCAGAAAATGCCAGCTCTTAGTTTTCACTCTTTTTTTCAAGTACAGCAAAATAATAGAGCAATTCTTCTGCTATAAAGAACTCAGATCACAACAGTTCTTAACTATTTGAAACCTCTGGCTTTACCTTGTGAATCATATTTGCAAACCTAACAGTGCTAACATTATATAGCATCCCGCAGCACCCCTGAAGGATCTTGAACACCCAGGTTGATAATCACTGTTCTAAACCAATAATTGTAACTCCAGCTCTAAGATTTGTTCAAAGCATTTAAAATAATTAAATATTAAGCAGTACTTTCAGGAACTAAACTTCCTGCATATTTCAATACCCTAGACATTGTCAAGAATTAGCAAGAGTGAAATGATGGCGTGCATATAGTAAAAAAAGAGCTGGTCTGTCTAACTGTTTGCCTATTAACATTGCTGCAGTCCTTACATTAAGAGAAAACTTGTTCAAAATGGACAATTACAAAAAGCCATAAAATTAGAAGGCAAATTACAACTCAAAATTAAAAAACAAGCAAATATATTTTCAACCCTACCAAGCGTATTTCTGTTGCAACCCACACACTAGCAGATAATGCTACATAGTCCATCTTTATAAGATTAAAAGGTAACTTTGTCTGAAGGTGCACAGCGTTTCAGACCAAATAGTTTAGAAGATGGTGCAAGACTACTTGTATCAAAACAGAGGAAAGCAGCACAAATCTTGCTACGGATGCAAAACTCTTATGTAGTTAGTACTAACTATTCTCTGTGAAAAGAACTAAAACAAAGCAAAAGATCTATACACGTGCACACACGTTCCAACACCTGAATAGTGTATTAAGAAATCTGGAAGTTTGGCTAATATTTGGCGTGGAGACTGTCAGAAATGGATGACAAAACTAAATACAGGTTTTCCGAAAGGAAAAAAAAAAAGCAGGTCAAAGATTTAAGTATTGGCCGTTAAGCTACTCTGAGGGGGGGAAAACACAACAAGGTGCTACTTGTACTTTATTCTTAGTACAAGTAGTTATGATCTGGGTGAGCTGGAAACAAGGCCTTTGTCCAAAAGCTTTCCTAAAATAATTCCAGTGTAGAGGAGAAGGTATTTTAGGCACCAGTACACATTCTTCTAGATTTTGCAAGTCTGACTACTGCTTTGGAAAGATGCACCTTCTCTCACAGGAAGGCACTAAGCATATTTGTACACCAGGGTGTCATCCTGGGTTCTAATATGGGCAGCTATCATCAGCTACCAGACAGTGCCATAAAGATAATTTAAAACAAATGTTGCTAATGGAGCATAGGTTGTAAAATAGGTTTAACATGGTGCCATGCCTTTGTTCAGTTTTCTTAACCCATAAAGTCACCCTATTACAAGGATAGCATGCATTTTCCCAAAAAAGGCTGGACTAAGGTATATCTAAAAATAGAATCTGAACACTATTATAAGCATTACCTCACAATTACTACACAACCATTTATTTTACTATAACAGATCCATGCTTGAAACTTTTTAATAATCTGGCCAAAAATGCTAGGCATACCTTGTAGCAAACTGGTCCATGGCAGTCGGGGTCAGATTTTCACATGTGCTTGGATACATACTTCCCTATCAACACAGCAAGAGCTAAACACCTAAAATGTTTAAAAATCTGGATTCTAGTACGTTTCTTGGATTGTTTCTCGTCACAGAAGCGAGTAATAAACAGAACATGTTGAAGAGATTGAAAAATGCACACGTATACCCAAATATGAACTTGGAGCAAACAAGAAAAAGCAAATTTTGCAAAAAACCTATTATACACGGGGCCCCATGCCATTGATAAAAATGGTTTAAATACATATCAAAGTAGAGGCCAACCATTAAGCCCCTTAAACACCAGCTGCATATCAATTTTGTTCCATTCTGTAAATTTTTTTTCTCTTACTAAAGGTTCTTCCCTAACATTATATCCACTCATGTTATTTGATATACCAATAGCTTTGGTCCTCATAGGCTACCAAGGTTTTAATAAGAACAAGATACTTACAGTATCTAAAAGGATCCTTTTAGGCAAAATTACATTACAGCATATAAAGCTAGGTTGAGACACTTCACCATTTGACGCAGAAACAGTAACTTCACATCTGGTATAAGAACATACTAAAATAATAATGTCTTTTGCTTTTAGATTTCTCGTCTCTGCAGAATGAAACTACGCTCAAACTGACTGAGTTCAGTCTGAAAAGTTTAACGACTCTACCAACATTTGTTTTGAAAACAACACACTTTGGTTATACGGCAACCTCCACCAATTTCAACTTTTAGCAAAAGAAAGAAGCATTAACAAAGCGAATGAAAATTTGACATTCCTGCCCTCCAAAACAGCAGGTAAAAATTAAGTGGCACAAAAAACTGTTGACGTGCTCTGCATGGGTCAAACTGAATTCTTACCAGCAACAAATACCATGGCACAAAATCAAAACTAAGAATCCAGTGTTGGCGAATGCAAGAACCAAGGGATTAGTTTAGAATGAAGTGCTCAGACTCCTACAGGATTTGCTTAAAACAAAGTTCTCAGTGGTCAACGCTTGTTTACTGAAAGAAATATGGTTCAAAATAATTGCTAATAAATATTACTAAAGCTACTAAACAAGAGTAACATCAAGAAGCATGGAATTAAGGCTTTTTAGGAAAGAAGAGCACAACATGCAGAGGAAAAAAGAAACTTTAGGAAGAATCCTCCACCACGTTCATGATTTGAACCTCACACGTGCTAAGCATGGAAGGGACTACCATTCAAGAACTGGACTCTGCAGCCACTCTTAAGTGTCTGACAAGCTGATACCTCACTTGGAGCAATTCTATTGCCTTGAGGGACAGACAGATACCTATTTTAACATCAAGAAAACATATCATTAGGCTAAACTACTGTAATCACTTCTACTGTAAATAGAGATGCATCAGTACATCAGTCCAATATCGGATTGGCACCAATATAAAGAAAATTGGCTGAGTTGGAAATCAGCCCGATGAGGCCGATAATTTGGCCAATAAATGCCCATGTATGCACGTGCGCAGCTACAGTGCAGCATGCAGGCAGCAAGGAGCACAGCCCAGCAGCTTGAAGAGCCGCATGCAGATCCTAAGTCTGTTGTGGTGGAAGGGAGTGGGGCAGGGCAGGGGCGGGTGCAGATGCTGCCCAGCCAGCGCAGGACTGGGCATGGGACAGCCGCGGCTCATCCAGGGGCTGTGCTCAGGGCAGGTGATGACAGTGCCAGAAGGGGGGACTATGGAGAAGCTACAGCAAAGCTACAACCCCCTCCCAGCACCGCTGCCACCTGCCCCAAAGCCCAGTCCCTGCCGAGAAGAGCCCACCACAGTCCCAGCTCCAAGCCACAGCTGCAGTCCACCCACCCCACCTAACGCAGATCCGGGGGCCACATCCCCCCACCCCCAATGCTCTCCCAGGGTGCACGCTGTGGCAGGAGTCACCCCCCCCGCACACCCTCTATGGATGAGCCGCAGCTCTGTCCCACGCCGTGCCCCAACTGCCTGGACAGCATCTGCCCCTGCCCCACTCCCTACCTCACCATGGGGGGCATTTATCTTCCCACCCCAAGCCCCTTCCCTCCCCCCTCCCCTTCCACCACAATGGACTTACCAGCTGCACACAGCTGTATCGGAAATCGGATCTGCATCAGCCCCCAAAAACTATATCAGTGAACCCCAAACCCTAAACAAACCTTGAAAAAATACAACTATCAAAATGAAGTTAAATTAGGTCAAGTAAACAAGTTAGTAGCAGTACTTATACTAGCTGAATCACCCAATTAATATAGTGGATAATCAATCCCTAAAGTTTTTAAATATTAATGTAAGGAGGTTTGCTGTTTAATGCTAACGCTAGTCAAAGATCTACAGGAATGCAATAAACACTTAAACAAACCAAGTTACCATCTGCAACAAATTCACAACCTAAAAAATAAGTTTAAGTTTTCCCTTTGGATTTAAATATAATGGTCAAAGGCTAACACTGTTTCCCCCACTCCAACAGACAGACAGCCTTTAACAAAACACTCGGTTATGTGAGAGTTTCAAACTTCCACTTATCGATGTGTAACTGACAGCTTAAGCTCTCTGGATATTTTCACAGAAGTAGGAACGTGCGCATACAATGATTTTTAAGGCAGTGATTTAGAGGAACTTCTTTCTGACATGTTAACTCTTTGTGTACTTTCCAAAGTGTTCGCATACCCACCCACCTATCTGAAAATCTACCAGATAGTAAAAACAGAAGGACACAAATTGAGAGAGTGGTATTCCAGACAAAAAAGGTTCAAAACTTTTCAGCTCTCATCTTCGAACTCAATCAAGTGTGAACTCTAGCCTCAGTCAAGTACTAGATGACAACATAGCTGGCATACTGCTTCATGCTAATGGACAACTTCATGCTCTAGGAGATTGCATGTACATCACAACTTCATCCTGAGTTGATCAGTCTTACAGTACTCCTTCAGAGATTTCAAGCAAAGCACGTATGCAATAGGCTTTGAATTGCCACAATGCGGTCCAATAAACTAGTATAAACTAGAAAAAAGAGGGATTTGTTGATTCAATGAATGAACAAGGAGTGGTCAAAATACGGTCTGCGGGCCAGATCCAGCCCATGGCTTGTTTTTGTCTGGCCTGCAACAGGTCCGTCAGTCCCGCCTGCCTCAGGCACAGTCCAGCTGTGCAATGTCCTGCCATCCCCCGGGCACACAGAGGGGCTAGGGCAGCTTCACAGCTGGACTGCCTTTCCAGGCAGCTCATGTGGTGTCGCCTCCTTCCAGCTGCCGCCACTCCTAGTGCCAGCGCCATGGTACCAATGGTGACCTGTACTGCACAGCCCTGACCCGGGCCACTCTGCACCTGCTTCAGGCTTGCCCACCCAGGCTCAGCAGTGAGGCAGCTGGGCAGAAACTGGTGCTCAGCATGGGGAGAAAAGTGACCCCTCCCCTTTGCCATTGCTGTGGCTCCTCCTGCAACCACCCAGAGCCCGCACCACACCAGGCTTCCCTACATCTGCTCTGTGCTGCCATCACTGCCCTGCTGGCAGCCTAGAGGTAATGGCGATGGCAGTGGAGACTCAGGGCAGCCCAGTGCAATGCGGGCTCCAAGAGGCTGCAGCAGGAATGGCCCAGCAGTGGCAAGGTGGAGGGGCTGCTTCCGCCTGCCCACATCCTGAGCAACAGCTTCTGTCCTGCACCAGCACTGTTGAGCCTGGAGCAGGTGCAGGGTCAGGGCTGTGCAGAGCAGGTCCCTGCCAGTACCATGGGGCTGGGGCCACCAACGGTGGCAGCTGGAAAGAGCCGCAGGCATGCAGGCTGCCTAGAAAGGCAGTCCCACTGCAGAGCCACCGCAGCCCTGCTGTGTGCCCAGGGGGCAGCAGGATGCGCCACAAGTGGGTGGTGGGGAGCAGGTACACGGTGAGCTTGGGTCAGAGCTGTGCGCATGGGTTCCCACTGATCCGCTTCCACTAGGGTGAGTCTGGAGCTGATGTAGGAAGCAAATGGGGGTGCGTGCTGCTGACACTGGCAGGGAGGCGCCACAGGGTGCACATGCTCCATGTTGTTGCAGGACTAAGGCAGCTGCTGACAAACTCAGGGGGGTGCACACAGGGAGATCCCGTGTATACCCCACCATATCCTCAAACCCTCCCCAACAAACCCCACAGCCACACCCTCCCCCCCACACAATCCTGCACCCACCCACACACACCCCCCAACCATGCCTGCACACCACTGGGAACAGCCGCATTCACTGCTGTGCACACTCACCCCACCACACATCCACCAACCCTCCCCCCACACACACCAGAGGATCTACAGAACAATTAGCCTCACCTCAATACCCAGGAAGTTACTGCAGCATATCCTAAGGAAATCCATTGGCAAGCATCTTGAGGAAGAAAGGCCGAATTCAAGCACCCAGCATGAATTTATTAAAGACAAATTATCTCAAAATAACTTGATTTCCTTCTTGGTGAGGCTGCAGCTGGAGTACTGCATCCAGTTTTGGGCTCTACAATTCAAAAAGGATGTGGAGAAGCTTGAGAGAGAGCAATAGGAGAGCCATGAGCATAATCAGAGGTCAAGATAACAGACCTTACGATGAGAGGCTGAGAGCCACGAGACTCTTCAGCCTGGAAAAGCGCAGGCTCAGGGACAATCTGGTGGCCATCGATAAGTTTATTAGGGGTGCTCACCAGGATCTGGGGGAATGTCTGGTCACCAGAGCACCCCAAGGGATGACAAGATCAAATGGTCAAAAACTCCACTGTGACCGATTCAGGCTGGACATAAGGAAGAACTTCTTCACTGTCCAAGCCCCCAAGTTTTGGAATAGATTGCCACCGGAGGTGGTTCAAGCACCCGCTCTGAATGCCTTCAAGACACTTGTGGATGTTTATCTTGCTGGGATCTTATGATCCCTGCTGACTTCCTGCCCCTGGGCAAGGGGCTGGACTCGATGATCCTCCAGGGTCCCTTCCAGCCTGAATGTCTATGAAATCTATGAATTCATCAAAGTAACTACTTGGGTGGATGAAAGGAATACTATATGCATATACTGTACCTGGATTTCAGCAAGATTTTTGACAAGGTACCATGTGACCTTCTCATAAACAGAAGTGGCTCAGTAGCAACATGTAAAGGGAATTATAAATAGATCTATTTCAGGATGGCAGGAGGTTTCAAGTGAAGTCCCACAAGGGTCTGTCCTGGGCCCAATGCTGTTCAATGTGGTTATTAATGGTTTGGATGCTGGCCTTGATAGCTTATCGGGCAAGTTTGTAGGCAACACAAAACTAGGAAGGACTGTGAACATATTGGAGGACAGGAGCACAATTCAGAAGGATTCTTACAGATTGGAAATCTGTGCTGGAGCTAACAGGAAGAAAGTACTACACATTGGGAAGAATAATTAAAACACCAATACAAAATAGGCAATGCCTGGCTGGATGGCAACACTATCGAGAAGGATCTGCAGTCTTGGCAGATCACAGACTCAATACGAGTCTGCAATATGATGCAGCTGCACAAAGGATGAATGTGGTTTTGGGATACATAAAAAGAAAATGAGAACAGACTGATGGAACATACTTCCTAGGGAAGTTGTGGAATCTCCATCACTGAAGGCATTTAAGAAGAGATTGGACAAGCATTGGTCAGGGATGATATAGGAGTAGCTACATTTGTATTCTGCTAGGGCTATTTCTCATGCTTCTGGACTTCACTGGTTGCCACACCATGGCCAGATTGTAGAGATTGTGGGAGGTTTTGCTTTTGTGTGTAGCAGGGGACATGGCACTCTTCCTTGGATCTCTTAAGCATAATGAGTAGCAACAGGACATTGGAGCAACAAGACATTGGCCACTGTTGTCCCACTGCTTTACCTGTGGCAGGTTAGTATATCTTGTGTTGTGTCAGGGTCAACGGTGTAGTTTTACTAATAGGTTGGACAATGGATTTCTACAGAATGGTTTGGATAGGGATGATCCTGCATCTGGGAAAGGAAAGAGGAGGGAGGTTGGCAAGATAACCTACAGAGGTCCCTTTCAGCCCAATTTTTCTTTTCTATGCTTTGTGCTTTTGTACAGGGTTAAGCATCTTACTAAAACCAGCACATTTTCTCTTGGCCTAAGAAAAGCAATATTTGCTACAAGTCAAATAGCAGTGATGGTGTTTATTTAATATATTAGCCTTTTCTACATTTATTAGAACCTATTATCCAATGGTACTCCAAAGAAACAGTGTGCTTAAAGGTGATCCATTAATCATACCCAGATATGCTGTTTTCCCTAGAAAAATAACTCAGTAAGAAACTAAGTTCATAGAACTACATATAAACTGGCCACTCTGTCTTATCAGAAGGAAATGGCACTGAGTCAGCTAGAAAAAAAGATATCAGCTTTTAAGAAAAAATTCCACAGGATGTTCTGCATTAGTAATACCTTTAGAAAATACAGATCCCACAATACAACCTCAGTGACTTTTAAAAAGATCTGTCAGTGAACTCAATGACCCTTTCTCTGCTATAAATGACCCTAAAGCTACAGAACAAGATGGTGGTAGCCATACAGCAACCCCAAAACCCTAGAGACAATTCCAGCTGGTATGTCTATAGAACATCAGCCAGGAAAGAGTCCTAAACCTAGTTTTAGACTCAGACTTGCTGCATTATTATCATTCCATACATGTATAGTTTTTTAGAAGATTTTCCCACAAACAAAGCAGATATATGGCAAGGTAGAGGTGTACATTATAGATCAAAACTGAGGTGCATAAGCTTTTACGTGCCACAGCTCACTTCACCAGGTGCACCTCTACCTTGCGTTCTTTCCAACTTCAGACTACCATGGCTAACTCTCTGCTCAAGGTAAGTATACGAGGGATTTAAGTATAGGAATTTGGCAGGATAGTTTTAAATTAGGACACAAGAAATGGGAACTGGTTGGACTGGAACTTATTCTAGTGAAAAAAAAGAGAGATATTATCAGCAAACAAATATATATTCTAAAGCTGTAGAATCACCAGTTTAAGCTACAGACCATATTTGGGGAATACTTGCAGGGTATTTGCAGTGTGTGACCAAAACATGCTATGTATAGAAAAAATATTTAAATCATTATCTATTGGCAGTCATTTTCCAACACAGGCACCTTTTTGCAAAATAATTATTGCTTTTCTCAAAAGTAGCACCTTCTCTGAGAACTATTCTGTTGTGCAACTGTATCCATCTGCTAGTCTGTTTTAATGCCTGTAAGTAGGAAGTCTACTCATGCCTCAAAAAAGTACAGCGCATAAATCTACAATTCCACCACTGCTTACCAACTCATGCTTTATTCATTTTTCCATGTCCCATCACCAATCCTGGTCTTCCTGTCTCCACATCCGTGAGTCAGCACCAGTGGAAGTGGACAGCTTCTTATGTGAACAGAGGAAGCAGCTGCCTTCCCACTACTCAGTGAAATGCCACATGAACTGCTAAGTAACTACTAAAATTTTAAAAGTTTAAAATAAATCAGTAGAATAAAAAAAAAAGAAAGGCAAAAGAATCAAGAAAAGCAAGAGATAGAAACTATAACCTGAAACTCAAGCAAAAGATCAAAGATGTTCTCATACAAAGAAATGAGTATGTTTTGAGAACAGCTCAGTGTGACAAAGCAAATCTAGTGCACTTAATAAAGCTGCATTTGCTATCATGGCTGAGCACTTTACAAACCTGGTGATCCCAGAGTTTTAATATATTCACAGATACATTCTTTCAGGCTTCCTGGTGCAAATGACACTGCACATTTAAAACATTGAAGTCATGTCAATAACATATCCAACTAAAACAAACACAATACGTTAGTGCAATTCCCAACAACAGAAAAAAAAAATAGGAAAAATATTTTAGAACAGGGGAATTGCAGTTAGACAAACAGATCTAAGAAATTAATCAGCTACCCAGTCACAGAGCATTAAGAAAAGTATAATACAAATATAAAATGAAATTTTCATCATTAAATGCTTGCATAAGGAGGTTGGTGGGGGGAAAAAAAAAAAACACACACACACACACACACATTTTGGTTTGCACTAAGGCAAGGTACAGACATTATACTTTAACCAGTATAAGTGATTGGAAAATGGTCTATACCTGCAACAGAACAGAAGTTTAGTGCACAAAACCAGTCTATACCCATAACAGAACAGAAGTTCAGCATGCACAAACTGATTTAAAAATGGCAGAACCTGCCTCCCTCTCCCCCCCATCCAGGGCAAATGTGTGGTTTACTACTGATCTAAACTATACCACTTACAGAAAACCACATAAAACTTGGACGGTTTCTGCCTCAGGCTTTTTTAATGTCTGTACCTAGCCTAAGTTTATTTTTTTGGATTAACATATTTTGGATGCTTTCCATAACGCA